ATGACGAACCTGGTGATAGTGTTGCCAGAGGAAAAATAGAACAGTACTTATTTTCAAAACTTTTAATCCAGATCATTTAATAGCATAATTACTTCTTTTAAGTGTTCTGAACACACATAGTGTCACTTTTGGTATTTTCCATTTTGAGAGCTTTCAGCCAACTTTCTCATCTCACCAGATTCTCGGGAAATCTGAAAATAAACGCATTTTACAATAACAACCTTTAAAATTGAATTAAAAAAATATTAACAGACTTTAAAACATCTATAGTTCGTGAGCAACCTTAAGAATGAACTTTCCATTCAAGTTAAAATAAATAGTTTTGTATAAGTATCTTTTTTAATAAAATGTGATTTTTTACTGTTCAAATTAAAGGGAATCAAAGGTTGTTTTTTATTTTTTGTAAAGCTAATATTAATTTTAGTCATTTTTGAACTTTCACACTTTCGCATTCACGCAATATGCCGACCCTGATTTGTTTTGTTTACCTACATATGAAAAGATAAACAACTCCGTTGTTTCCCTCTTTGGCCGCACACTACACATGTATTAGTCATTGTTTCTCAATAAATATTCACTAAATAAATCTTTGCAAGTAACTAAAAATCGATTATTAATCAGTACCCAAAAAATAAAAAACTTTAAAATCAGTTAAAAACAACAGAGACTAAAATAGCAACAGCAGAATAGCATTAAAAAATACATTCCTCAAGCAAACAAATTTTGTATATCTATTAAGTTTTAAGTTATACAAAAGCATTAAAATAAACGCTGAAGGCTGGGCCGCCCTGATTTGTTTTCGATACGTTTATATGTAAACATGCAAATTGTTGTTTATGTATCAGTCATAAAAATCAGCGTATCTCTTATGGGTGTTACTTATCTTTATATTATTAATCTGAGGATTCTAGGGTCAGTTATACGAACGAGCTTCAGCCAAAGTTCAGCTGTACTTGGATTAAAATCCAAGTTTCCGATTGCCACAACAATGGTATTCTTGGATTTTAATCAAATTCAGCTGAACTTTGGCTGAAATTGGTTTTAAACCCAAGGTTATGATTGTTTCAACAATGGTATCATAGGATTTTAAACTAAGTTCAGCCGGGCCATTTTTAAATCATATTCCTAAAACTAGATCTTAGGGCCATCTTAGGTAACTTCAGACCTGATCAACTTTAACTTATTGGTTACTGTTTCAGAATTATGCAAAAAAAATCTACCTAAGCCAGCTGCAAAGGCATAGATTAGTTCCTTCTTTTTTATATAAAAAGATTAAAAGCCGTAATCTTACTTATAACCGTCCATCAAGAACTTGTCATGGTAAAAATCTTAAACATCATTAGATATTGACACCTTACATCAACGTCAAAAAAATTAAATTGATTGTTAATTTGTATAAAATTTATTTATACATGACGTGTAAAAATATTAAAACTATGTAATCAAATATAACATAAACACGTGGACAATAGAATACGGTTTATAATATAACTTATTACATGTTTAATCACTATCCAAAATCTATACACGATATCTATTTCGATGAAAAAAACATATTTGTTTTATGATTGTGGCCACCACATACCTTGGCCACGTGCAGCCTCTGAGGAAAAATTAAGCATGCATAGATGCTAAATTAATTGTCTTGAATCATTTCTTATAAGACATCATGTGATTACTGATTATAGTCAAATTAATCACACAATAAATTCGACTGATGTTCTCTGTTGGCAGGTTGATAGTGGTTTCAACGGTCAGTTTTATGATTAATTTGAATTTAATCACACGATTTGTTACAAAACTAGTACAAGACGATAAATAATAACATTTACGATGTCAACATAATTTTTCTTCCACTAACGAAAGATTTTAACGTGCACGTGTTGTATTAGCATGATTATTTCTCGAACAGTAGTAGCTTTCAGAAAATATTGATTTATTTGCTTGTAATTACATTACCACAATTAATTGTAAAATTTTTAAATAAATTTGTTACGTGATATTCATCCGCTGAATTTGCTCTGTTGCTTTGCTTTCTAATGCACGCATTAAATTTGCAAAATTCCTGAAAAGTGATAAATTCTTTTTTACTCGAAAAAATCAAATTTATCTCCTTCCTGGACTCTATGCTATTTTGTTAGATATTCATCTATTGGTGTTCCAAATATAGTACCAGATAATAGTTAAAATCTTTTAAAAAAGAAAACAGATTTGTAATCATCTATAAAAGGCACAAATTTAAAGTATGATTCTGTTTAAAGGTTAGTTCATTATTAGAGTTTGGATATCGGCGTGTCATGAAGTTAAAAGCAGAGTTAGCGCCAGGGAATATTTGCTATTAATTTATATACCAATTAAATTAAATTATTATTAAATTGAATTAAATTTTTAAATCAAGTTAAACAATACAGGTAATACAACACCCTGTATCCCTGAAGGTATTTCAAGGTACCTTGTGTGGGAGAAAGCTACACGTTTAGAGACAATGGACATGCACCCAATGTCCGAGTATCGAGTATGCTAAGATTAATTTTTGCTTTAGAAAAAATCTTAGTTCCTCGATCAGGTATCGATCCGGGTACTCAAGGGTGAGAAGCAAGTGTCCTTACCATTCAATCACGAAGCTACACATTAAAATCCAACAGTCTCTAAACTATTACTGCAAAATAATATCTTCCAGTGGCTTATGTTGTAGTGTAGAGGATCTAAAAATGACTAGTGGAAGTGAAATGTGAAAGTATATTGGCAGTAGCAGTTTTCACCAAAAATTTTTTTTTGTTGCACTTCACACTTATTCACAGTTATTGTTTCAGTATTATTCCTTACAAGCGAAGTATGTTATTATAAGTTGCTCCATATGTTCGTCATGTCGTCATGTTTAATCGAAACTCTAAACAATCCACTTCATTGCCATGACAACTATTCGATGAATTGCGACAGAACCAGAATTGTTGTGTAAAACACCTTTTAGTTTTTGTTTACGTGTTGGACCGATACAGAGAGTACATTTGGCATGGGATTCGTCAGAGAAGGATCGGATGATCCTGAACAAAATTATATTCTACTGATTAAAATCATTTAAAACTAAGTACACAAAACATTTACAGTTAAAGTAAAAACAATAGTAAACAGTACACAAAACATTTAGATTTAAAGTAAAAACAATAGTAAAAAGACATAAAAACTAATTGTAATTTAACTATTATGTTACTAGATACAAAGACAAAAGAATTAATTATTTAGATATTCATCAACAGAGTAAACACTTTTTTCGGTAAGGTATTTTTCATATCTTTTAAATAATTTTAGATTAGCGATATCTTTATAAGATTTTGGCAATACATTGTATAACAAAATACCATTGTATTCTGGACTTTTTGAAGAGAATTAGGGTACGCTTAGGAAATTGCAAATCATCTCCGTGCCTGGTTGAGTATTCATGAAAATTGTTGTTTCGTGTAAAGTTTGGTGGGTGTTTCTAAACATAAAGTAAAATAGCAGACATGTACAGACATGGCAATGTTAAAATTTTAAGATTTTTAAAATATTGCCGACAAGATGGTCTATTAGAAATCTGTGCGATATTTCATACAGCTTTTTTGTAGTTTAAATATACCTACGTAAACTTAAACTCGAGGATCCCCAAAATAAAGTACCGTAAGTAGCTCTAGAAACAAATTGAGCATAACAGTAAAATACCACAGACCTACTAGTTAACTCTCTTAATCTATATATTGAGAAACATACAGACGACAATCTACTACATAGAAACTTTATGTGCGTATCTTAATCTAAGTCACTGTCAATGTGTAGTCCTGAAAACTTTGTTGGTTGAGTTTGTTCTACTGATTTGTTTTCTATCCTGACTAAATAACTCTGGTCAATAATTTTCTTGTGTGGAGTAAATTTAATAAAGACTGTTTTACTGCTGTTTATAAATAGTTTGTTGTGGTTAAAATAGTTTACAAATTTATTTAATAATGACTGGATGGATATTGATTAAATTTTGCACATTTTCTTCATTATGTAGTAAACTGTTATCATCAGCAAACATAATTAGGTTGTTATTCTCCAGTTGTAAGTTGGAAAGATCATTAACATATAATAAAAATAGTAGTGGGCCTAGAACAGATCCTTGGGGCACTCCACATTCTAGTTTTAGCTTGCCTGATTCGATTCCGTTTATTTCTACTAATTGTTCTCTACCGGTTACTGGGTCTAGCAACCTCCATTACCAAGATATATGGCGTTTTATCGATTTTGCCTATTCTTTTCTTAAGCCACACCATATGAAACACCCCCTATAATTGATTATTTGGCGGAGTATTTTAACAGCAGAAAATATGGAGCAATTTTTAATAACAAACTTCGATTGTTATTTAAAGAAAATTATTCATAAATCTTATTTTCTATTTATTGTAGTATACCTGCTAAACTTTAATGTTCTAAAAAAATTTCAATTTAAAATCACCCCTTTTTATGAATTAATTTGAAAAAGGATTAGAAAATTATTAAAAACTTATTACCTATAAAAAGTACTTACAAACCTTTTTAAATGTACAACACGCATTTCACTCTGACTTGCTTATTATGAGGAATACAAAAATTGTACAAATCACTCCTCGTTTAGCAGATCTGAGGTGGATTTTAAGTCACATAATATCGACATTGATAATTTATTTTACATTAAAATGCCCAATTTAATTAATCGTGAAGTTGGTTGGAACTTTTGATTGACACTGAAACCATAGTATATGTTTCCACAAATATCAAAACACCAAATGCTGCTCTCGGTAAAAAATGTCATCATCTAGAGATGTTGATTGAATTTAATTTAATTCAGTTCAGTTCAGTTCAGTTTAGTTTAGTTCAGTTTAGTTCAGTTCAGTTTATCTCAATTCAATTTAATTTAATTCAGTTGAATGTGAAAATTATTACAATAGCAATTTTATATAACTTCATGGATAGTGATGGAAAACACATTGTAGTTCTTAGATTAGGGTTTCATGGTTGAATAGTAAGGACACTTGCCCCTCACCCAAGAGTCCCGGGTTCGATCCCCGATCGAGGAGCTAGGAGTTTTGCTAAACCAGAAATTAATCCTGGCATACTGGAACATTGGATGTGTGTCATTGTCTCTAAATGTGTAGCCTTCTCCCACACAAGGTATCTTGAGGTACCGTAAGGGGTACAGAGGGTTGTATTACCTGTGGTGTTTAATTTAAATTTAATTTAATTTGATACGAAGCTCCACGATACTAGAAAATTGTGGGATACAGGGTGTAGCAAATCATTTCCTCAGGAACTATTTTGTCAGAAATGGTGAAGCCAAAAGTACTTTTAAGTATTTGCAATACCGTAAGGTATAGTACTTGGACCTGTACCGTTTAATATATAAGTAAATGAATTGCTTCATTTGCTAATCCTGGAGTGAGTTCGAACCTTTGCTGTGAAGATAACACTGACGGAATTTTCCACGAAACACCAACACACTATATATTGTACTCGATGCGCGTTTCGCCAACCAAGTTGGCATCATCTGGAGATGATTAAAACTAACCTGATGTTAACAATCTACCCTATTTATACCTAAACTATTGTCATGGTTTGGGGAACCGTGACCCACTAACCAATAAAGCGGACTGTTTGTGATAGGCCCCCCTGTCAATATTCATACTATTTTTACATTTTGTGATTTCCAAGCTTTCAAATGCATCCAGCTGTCTAGTGTTTGGTATATACCAAATTAATCTATGCTAATATCTATTTTATGATTGTTCTCAAATGCATGTTGGGCAACACTAGACTTATCTGCTCTACCATATTTGAGATGGGTCATATGCTCTTTGAATCTAGTTTGAATTGATCGTCTAGTATGTCCAAACATATTTTTAATTACAGTCCTTACAGCTAATTTCGTAAATCCCCGACTTTTTTGTTTGTTTCAATTTTGTCTTTTGGATTGCCTAAAAGTTGTTGCAGTTTATTTCCCAATGAATGAACCACTGTTATACCTACATCTTTAATAATCATACCAATACCACGGGTGAATTGAAGATCGAATGGAATCGATACAAATTTCGAGTTTTCTCTTTCATTTTGAAAGAGGAATTTGAAGCGACTCTTTCAATATTTGTTTCCTAATTATGTTATCAATTAAACTTACATAATACTCATTAGTCGCAGCTATATCTTTAATCAATGCCTTTTCTTTTCTAAACCTCTGCTTATTGAGGGAGAAGCTTAATAGGCAATGGACTAGAAAATTAAAACTCGCTATTATGTGTTGAGCAAAATGGAGAGAGTCCTTAGTAGTGGTATCTTTTCTTTATATGTCAAATTCTAACTTATTTTCACTATTTTCAATTATTAATACATCTAAAAATGGTAGTTGTCCAGAATTTTCAATTTTATATGTGAATTTAACTGACGCGAAACGACTGTTTAATTTAGATACAAAGTTGTTAATATCAGCGAGTTTTGTATCAAACACTGCAAAAATATCATCTACATACTTAAGTCAAATCCTGGGCAAATACTCGAATTCTCTTTTTGCTTCCGTTTCGAATTTGTTCATGAAGAGACTTTCAATGAATGGAATGGTATTGTAAAATAATTTTTTTTGCCGATGACAGACTTCTCCTGGGACATTGTGGAATTTTTAAAATTGCAGCAATGGCTCTTAGAAAATTTTGTTAACTGCAATTATTAATAAAACTAAATTTAACTTTTTTTTTCCATGTGATAAATATATTTCACAAATGAACACTGTAAATTTGCATACTTCTTGCACATGTTTATTGTAGATAAAGAATACACTTGACTGAGAGTGTACAAATACGATCTACAAAAAAAAAATTGAGAATAATGATCTATAAATGTACTTAAAATATTGAAATTCTTAATAATCAAATAAACAAACTTTTGCGAACATTCCATGGTTTAATGTTCGATTGTTGTTTCACCTTACGTAAAATCTGTACTTAAATTCACCATCAAACATAACTCTCTGTTACAAACAAATGTGTATTAAACATAACTTTGCTACAATTTAGTACAATGTTCTCACACATGTATGGTTAAAAATTAATGCATATATATTTCCAATGTAAATGAAATACAGATCGATTTGACTCGATGATTTGATTTGATACATCTAAACCAAATACTCGCTTCATATTTCAAACATAAGTATCTTTACTTGTTTTCAAATCAAACTTTCTATTGGCACTTTCCAACTCTATATTGAGAGTTGAAAGCATTTCGAAAATCATATTGTATATTCAGGCATACAATATGCAGAGATGTTATGTTTCAGATAGTATAAAATTCAAATCTAACTTAAATGGTGAAAGTTCAGTGTGCTGTTTTAGAAGAATCTAAGCAATATTTTTTATTTACCTCCAAAGTAATTTTGTGACATTTGATAATATTTGGACAATTTAGCAAATATTTCTTGCTGTTTTGTTTTGCTACATGTGTTTAATGAATAGCTTCTGTGAAAAGAGAATACCAAATAAATGCGTAATTAATATTAACGTTTTCTATGAATTGTGAAATTAGTGTCTAGCAAGCGAAAGTATTGCTGATAAGGCGCCAGCTTTCTGTGAAACCATATACTAGGAATATAATATCTCTCCCAATGAGTAGGTGCTGATGTAAACGATCAAAAAAATTTACCATGCAGTAACTCATTTATTCCATTTACGATTAATTGTTGTGAATGGAATGCAGACCAGACAGTAGTAAATATATTCGAATGTAACCGTTGTTTTATTTGCGGTAGAATCTCCTTCACCTGATAATTAATTATCTCGTTAAGATTTCTTTGTATTTTGGTAACTCATCGAAATCAAAAAAACCAATTTTTCAGTCGATTAGAAATCACAAAACATTGAAGATACAATATTACTGATCTTGTTCAATTATAAGATTGCTCCTCAAAAGTTTCATACATGTTCGATTGGCGAAAGGTAAGGTGAAATTAGAGGTCATGGAATAATTCACATGAGCATCTGTTAGGAAACTCCTGCCGATTTCATATTAATGAATAAGCCTGGCCAAGCGATGGTAGATTTAGGGTTGGGCGCAATACCAATGCCATCGCGCGCTTGTTTACGATGACGATGACACGACACACTTCAGTTGTTATCTGTCGGTCGATGCATAGAGTACTAATAAATAATAAATAATGTTGAGCGTAAAGAGTAGAAAACGACCATACGCTGATAAAGCGAATAAATTTGTCGGGGAATTTCCGGATTTATTCTATGATGGATGTAAAATAATTTGCAAAGTTTGTGATCAAGGCTTAATGCGCTGGAATAAATACGACTGCAAAATTCATGTCAATAGTAACCGGCATAAAAATAAAAAAAATGGCGTGCCTTCTTTGGAACCTCAGTAGTTTATGTTTGATTTACTGTTAATGCTGATTGCCTGTGATGTTCCTCTGCGCATATTGGATAAACCAGTATTTCGGGAGTTCTGGAATAAATACAATCCCCAGGTGAATTTACCAAGTCGTTCATCGTTACGTAGATATGTACCAAGTGTTCGTGAAGACATTGTAAATAGGATTAAATGTGCATTATAAAATACACGGCCGTGGTTATGTGTTGACGAGACGACAGATTGTAAAAAAAATTCTATTGTAAATGTTATAGTACGTGTACTCGACTCTGTTAAACCAACATTTCCACTTTTACTAGCTAGCAAAAGACTAACTGCGTGTACTGGCGAAACAATTACGCGGGTGGTGTTGAAGACTTTCGAAAAATTTGAACTGTCAACAAGTCAAGTGTTGATGTTTGTGACCGACAGTACTGCGACAATACGTTTGGTGGTCCGTTTTCTTCAAAGAGACGATTGTAGGTTTTTACATGTTACGTGTAAAGTGCATGCGTTCCATCTTATAGCAGAAACGATACGAAAATGTTTTCCAGAGGTAGATGCATTAATAGCAAATACAAAAAAAGTATTTCTCAAATATCCTAATCGGCTTCGAGCATTTCACACACTCTGTCCTGGTATTCCGGACCACCAGCGCCGATTTTTACACGTTGGGGAACGTGGCTGAAGGCAGCTTTTAATTATGCTGAATATTTTCAACAAATAAATGCTGTGATACTACAGTTCAACCCTATCGAGGCTGCAGCTATTAAGGAAAGCCAGACAAGCTTTCAAGATGTTTCCCTTGAAACAGATTTAAAAACTATTTATAACAATTATAGAGGACTACACAACGCAATAGAAAAATTGCAAAATACTTCGTTATCGTTAGTGGAATCGCTGCAAATAGTGGACGACGTAATTACACAGCTACAGACTATAAATGACGCAAAAAATAAGCCCGTTATTGAAAAATTCGAGAGTGTATTACGGAAGGATCCTGATTTTAACAAATTAAGACAAATTTGTGATGGTGCATCTACAGCTGCGTTAAGTGAGTTCACAGAGTGTTTTACTTATGCCTGTATTACTTCCGTAGATGTCGAACGGTCTTTTTCAAAATACAAACATATTTTCTCACCACAGCGAACGTCGCTTACTGAGACAACTGTAGAAACATAATCTGACGCTACACAGTTATTATAGAAGTGCTCCAGTTTGTGATAATGACAACCAAGCTATTTCATAAATCTGCTTAAGAAGGTGAGATTTGTACATATTTTTATAAAGTGTACCAGTATTAATAAAATTTATTTCCACTTATTTTATATATTTATTATTAGTTATCATTTAGATATACAATATACATGTGTGAACGTCATTTAACAGTTTAATAATAATGTGCAGCACTAAGCTTACAAAATATAAGGAAATACATAAAAGAGAATTTGAAGTGAACGAAATAGTACAAAAACATACATCACAATATATAAAATATTTTTGTTTTTGTTATTGTACTTATTCAAGTATTATGATATGATGCATACCCAGTACGCCTCTGTAGGACTAATGACCTTGGCCAGGCTTATTAATGAATATTAAAATGCCAGGTGGTTCCTAACAGATGCTGATGTGAGTTCTTTCATAGCCTCTAATTTCACCTTACCTTTTTTTGGCATTTCAA